AAAACAATTACAAACAAACAAAAAAAATCCAAAAACAAAAAACCCCCTGCGTTTCAGTGGAAGAAGCAGCACATTATGTTGACCTGACTCTGGGATATTTGTATGGAGCGGGCTCTTCAGAGGGACTTTTTGGCACTTTTAGCTAAAACCAATTCAATCAGCTGTTAGATAAAAACGTTGCAAAAGCCCTACTAAAGTGCCCAATCTATATAGATGTTGGGCAACCCGAGTTCATCTTGTGTGCTGCCTCTTCTGTGAGTGTACTTGGCTTGGTGTGGGAGCATGTGGGGTTTTAAGTGAAGTGTCACTTTTTTTTTTAAGCAGCCATGGTGCTTATTTGTATAGTACATTCTAATATTATAAAAGCCTAATTCTGTCTGTCTGTCTGTCTGTCACGCTTTATTCATGCTCTGATTGGCTGACAAACAGCCAGAGTGTGAAAGAGCGTTTGAACAGGAGCTGATGGCATTGGAGTGCCGCCATGATGACAGGGACAGGGGGGATGCTGGCCTCACCGCCCCGCCCCCCCCCCACTCCCTAGAGGTGGGGGCAGTGGGGGGGGATAGGCCACGGGAGCTGGCCTCGCCTCACCCCACCCCTTGCAGGTGATGGCAGCAGGGGGAGCAGGGTTGGGATTCCATGGGGGGGCAGTGAGCCACTGGCTCTGGCCTTGGTTTGCTCCTTCCCCCTTCTGTCGTTGCCACCTGCAGGGCCTGATACGGTGGTGGGGCAAATAGCCGGCGTGTGGTGGGGGGAGGGGAGGAGTGGGCCCAGGCCTGATGCAGGGAAGGACTGGGCTTGAGGGTTGGGAGAAGCTGGGCCGCTACAAGGGAAGCAGTGGGCCTGGGCCAACCCAGTGATGGTGGAGGAGATGGGAGGAGCAGGCTTTGAGCTGGGGAGAGTGAGGGTGGGAGAGGAATAGGACTGCACCCAAGGTGGGGGGAGGAGGACTGAGCCCAAGCTGGGAGAGAAGCCAGGCTGCTGTGGCGGTGTGTGTGGGGGGGGGGGGGGGGGGGGGGGCCCGGCCCGGTGGGGGGGGGGGGGGGGGGGGGGGGGGGAGGGGGGGGGGGGGGGGGGGGGGGGGGGGGAGGGGGGGGGGGGGGGGGGGGGGGGGGGGGAGGGGGGGGGGGGGGGGGGGGGGGGGGGGGAGGGGGGGGGGGGGGGGGGGGGGGGGGGGGAGGGGGGGGGGGGGGGGGGGGGGGGGGGGGAGGGGGGGGGGGGGGGGGGGGGGGGGGGGGAGGGGGGGGGGGGGGGGGGGGGGGGGGGGGAGGGGGGGGGGGGGGGGGGGGGGGGGGGGGAGGGGGGGGGGGGGGGGGGGGGGGGGGGGGAGGGGGGGGGGGGGGGGGGGGGGGGGGGGGAGGGGGGGGGGGGGGGGGGGGGGGGGGGGGAGGGGGGGGGGGGGGGGGGGGGGGGGGGGGAGGGGGGGGGGGGGGGGGGGGGGGGGGGGGAGCAGCGGGCCTGACCTGATGTGGCAGTGGCTGGGGGAGGGGAGGAGTGGGCTGCCCTCCCCCCCCCCTTTGGGCATGGCCCCACTCCTTGGGGCCCAGCTTCTCTCCACTCCCGGGCCCGCTCCTCTCCCTGGCTGCTGTGGCAAGAATGGGGGAAATTGGGCCCAGACCCCAAGCAGCAGGAGGGAAGTGGGAAGCAGACCTGAATGGGGGGTGGCCACAGGGCTCCTTCCCCGCCTGCTACTCCCCCATCATTTTTGATGGGCAATTGGCTAATACTTTAAGAAGGACGTCACGACTTAGAATTTCTTAGCTTAAATGATGACAGTGCTCTGTTACTATTTCTTGTACTGTTCTGATGTAGATGCAGGGGCGATGCATAGGGGGTGCACATGTATCCCCTGAGTGTGCAATGCACCCCCTACAAAAAGGCAGTGCTGACACCGGTGGTGGTGCCTGCGGGTGGTCGCCCACCCCACCGCTGACACAGGCGACGTCTGCGGGTGGTCTACCACCCCAGCTGGCTGTGGGTGGTTGCCAACCCACGGTTGGTGCTTGCCACCCCCGCCACTGGCATCTGTAGGAGCTCCCTCGCTCACCGCTGCTGAGCTTCTCCCACCGCCGCCGCCATGCTCCCCCAGCTGCTGGGGGTATTAGTCATTCATGTGTAGATATGAAACAAGATGGAAGTTAAATCTCTGAAGGACATCTTCTTTGCTAATAACCCGTTCAGTATTGAAGTTTCTCATCAAAAACAAACATTTCATCCAGTTTAGCACTTTCTTGGCAACCTCTGCTACTGTGGAATCACTTAATGGTTTCTGTGTTCAGCAGTGTTATACCACAGAAGTCTGGTAATACTGAAGAAGTGTTTAGGGCCAGATCCACAAAATGTTTACATGCCTGTCCTCAAAGCGTGGCCCATGCCGGCCAAAGGTTGCTGAACCCTTACTCTAAACAGTTCTGCTTCATAAATCACAGAAGAGCAAACAAATTGAAAAGAGTAAGATGTTTATTTCATTTACTGAATTTTGTAAATACATGAAGCAATTGGACACTTAAAGACTAGATCCACAAAGGTATTTTAGTATATTGTGGAACATAAGACTGGACAGACCTTCCTGGATCATCAGGCCCATTATTATAGTCAACCATATTGTAAAGTAACTTCCATAAAGTGATCAGAATCTTAAAAATATATAGGGTCTAGGGTAAAAAATTCTAATGAGTAGATGTCCTAGAATTTATTCCTGAAGCACCACAAATTAGAAGTTTCTAATAAAGCTTACTCGTGGTCAGTTTATTTCTCTTTTGGCCTTGGGACTGCTTAATTATTTATCAGTACAGTTATGTTTTCATTTCATATCCTGTCCTGAAATGTGATCAGAGATGCTCAGAATTGTGGTGAGGTGCCCTTGAAACCTGCGCTCTTGTGTGTGTAATTCTCTAAATCGAGACTGGTAAATTATAGCCTGCAGACCACACCAGGCTCGCAGAGAGGTCTGTTTTCACCTGTGATGCTCCGATCTAGCCCTGTGGATTGGGGCACAGCCATACCATGCTGTACATTCCCTTTGCAGTGCTACTCTTCACTGTAGAGCTTGCTGCTCTTCCACATCTGTGCTGACCCCCTCACTATTGAGGGGATGGGAATCAGTGGCAAGGGTAAGAGGAGGCAGCTGGGCAGTGAGGGGTGGAAACTTGTGCCTCATTGTGGGAGGTCATGTTGCAGAGGGTGACCTGTGTCAGTACAAAGTTGTTGACCACTGCTCTAAAGTTTTATGTTCCATAAAGAGGGAACAAAAGGAGTAAAAGAGTAAAATGTGTATTTCTTTCTGTTGAATAATAATCTGACCCTCCTTCTATAACAGTGTTCTGATGTTTTAAATATCCTTACAAATTATGGAGCCTGCTGTTTTTGATCTGATGTTCTTATTTTCTAAAGTGTGCAGTCTACTGTCACCTTTATTACATAAAGGTGATAATCTCCCTACGAATATAATTTTGGGATAGGCTTTTGGTTTTTCCCAATGGCAGATTAGTCATGATAACATCACCAGAAACTACTTACCAGACCTCCAGATAGTTTACCTTAAATCTGGTCAAAATACAAAAGTTACAATTGTTAACTAGCAATGTCCTCTTATATGACTAAACATTGGCAAAAAAGGCAAATGTGTTACAAGTTCAGTTGCACATAAAGAACTTAAGAGGCCAGAGCCCAATTTCGTAATTTGCTTTATAACAGTCTTATGGTGTATAGAATATATTTGTTCTTATTCTTCTAAATCAGTACATAAAACTATGGGGAAGAGTGTACGTGTGCGTTGTTTTATTGCTGGTGCTAAACCTGAGTCTGTCATGCTGTAAGTGTCAGGCCTAACTTACTGTGCTGAGCTTTATCTGCAATGTTGTTTTTTTTTGTTTTTGTTTTTCTTGGAAATCCTTTCTTACAAGCCTCAGCAAGGAGATATAAGACTCCCATACTAGGAAGCAACTTCTTCCTTACAAGCCTTCTTATCTTAAAAAGAAAAAGTTCTAATACTCGGAATTTGCCTTAAGCAGTAGAGATGTGGAGGTATCTAACTGCATATAGATTTATTTTACTTTTGTGGAAGGAGCTAGCAATTAGGGCTGTGCAAAGCTTCGGTCGCTAATTCGATTCAGTGGCTGAGTCTCCAAATCAAATCAGGAAACCTTTTAATTTCGCCGAATCGAATCAGAACCCTCCAAATCTGTTTGGAGAGATTCTGAAAGATTTGATGATTCAGATATAGCTTTAAAAGTTTTTCCTACATACCGCAAGGTTCCAGGCAGCTCGTGAATGCTGAGATGCTGGGATGGAGGGAGCATCCTACAGGAGCGTGGGGGAGCCCCCAGCGTGCTTGGCAGTGGATCCGGAAGTGGACCAGAAGCACTTCCGATCCATTTCTGGGTTCTCCACCAAGCACCCACCCCCCACTCCTGTGGGATGCTCCATCTGCCCCACCATTGCAGCATTCACAAGTTGCACCTGGTACCTCGTATATAGAAAAAACATTTAAAGTTGTGTCTGTGGCGGAATTGTTGATTGTCTGAATCTGCATCGAATCTTCAGATTTGCATTTGGCTGAATCGAATCGGGACAGTGATCCAAAGCAACAAATCAAATCATTGTCTCCGATTTGGGCCGAATCCGAATTGAATGTGGCCAGTTTTGCACACCCCTACTAGTCTGAGCTACTTTTTGCCCTAATGTTTTTCCCTTAGTTTACTGGGGACAGTTGATTAGTTGTGTTATGTTTAAAATGAGAGTCTGTTATAAAAACTTACGTGCGCATTAAATAGTCAAACGTTGAAAATGGTTTTCCTTTTATGAATAGGCAGCTGGGGTAAATATACAGTTACCACAAAATATAAATGCTACTGAAACCTAGCAGAATATAAACATCTTTTTTTCCCTTTGGTAGTGGATACCCTCTTTTCAAGAAAACTAAATGGAAGATACAGACTTGAACGCCTTGTTCCAACTGCAGTGTATCAACATATGAAAATGCACAAACGCATCTTAGGACATTTATCTTCCGTATACTGTGTAACGTTTGATCGGACTGGCAGACGGATATTTACCGTAAGTGTGAATTCCTTATTTTTGTACAATTTGATTTAAATATAGATGGGAAAATCTAGTTATTTCTGTTGTCAAATATCTTTATATATATGCTTTTTATGTGCAAGGATCAGATAAGTGAAGATGGTTACATTTGACTGATAATTCATAATTCTTTTTTAAAAAGCATGTAACCAAGTATTTTTGTAGGCCATTTGTATTTTTTTAATTATGAATTTTTTGGTCATGCAAATCTTACAGTGGGGTTTGTGGTAAGTGTCTTCTGATCAATTTTTATCTAAATAAGAAAATTTTACTCATTTTAACAAATGCTAAATAACGTATTTGGTCAACCGTGAGTATAATTTGGTCAACTATGAATATAATTAGATTATACATATGGAAATTTTATATAAAATTATCATCATTTTCCAGGTATAGAATCTAATTGGAGGTTTGCCTTGAATTTGTCCCCCTCCCACTGCTACAGCAGGGAAAATAAATCTAGGTGGATCAGGTGGCCCCCTTACCCTCCCCCACATCTTCCCCTTGAAACCCCTTTCCCCTTCCATCCCCTGCTCTTACTAGCAGACCCTGCTCTCCCTGAGCACATGGAAGTGAGGGGCAAATTTGAAACACTGACTTCATAAAAAACATGCGTATAGTAATTTAGTTCATCCAGATGCAGTTTAGGTTTTTTATAACTGCTGCATGTTTTTTATAACTGCTGCATGTTTTAACACAGGTACTTCATAAACGCACTTTTTAAGTAACACTTCTGAATTTGCTTTAAATATAGTACAAACAATACATGATGTTAATATAAAGCCAAAAGGCTCATTATTTATCCCATAGTTCACTGGGCTGGGCCACAGCACAATGAACAGTGTTTAAACCCATGGTGATCCCATAGCTAAGCACTGCTCAGTTTGGGTGTACTTCAGACAGTCCTCCACAAAGGATCCACATGCCAGTTAGTCCTCTACTCATGACTGGAACAGGGTGTTCTTGTCATAAGTCCTGGGATGCTCCAAAAATGTATATGCAGATGAGGCACAAGGCAGCCTGTTCTGGCTCCATCTCACGGAGGGTGAGGTCACACTAATCATACATGACAGGCTGAGAGGGGGCTACAGAAGGATTTTGGGTGAACTGTTTAGGGTTCTGTTTAGTGATGTTTGCCAGACATATAAGGCTGGCAAAGAAACAGGAATCATTGGAAATGGGAAAGAAAGGCACAGCTTGGCTGTGGAAGTGGAGAGGAAGTTGAGATATATTCAGGTAGTAGTTCACCATGAAAAAGTGTCGGTGTTGAAGGGGGCTACACTCAATGGACACTACCATATATCTTATTCAGATGGACTGTACTAACGTATCCTTGTGATAAGTTCCTATCAGCATGTTTGCCCAATATGGACCCATGTGGCTTATAATTATGCCTAGTGTTGGCTGCATGTAATCAGTTTCATAGTTGGTTTCCAGTGCTGAGCACAAGCTGCTTTTGGCCGCAGCTTAATGATAACCAAAGTATTTAATGAAGTTTCCTTGTATGCAGATGCAGGACAACGGGCTTCCTTCCCTACCCCCATGTTGATTATGGCAGGGGGAAAACCTAATTTTATATTCAAGTAAATATGGTACCTTTACAACATTTCACCACCCCTCTGCCCATTACAAGTCTGCTGTGTGGTACAAGCCTATGTAAAGTAATAGAGTGCTGATAGAGGATTTGATTAAGGATTCAAAAATGCAAGTAGAAAAAACTAATGCCAATCAAGTGGCATTACAGAAAATAGACCTTGTCAAAATAAATTGAAATTATTACTTTTGTCAGTGTTGATGGCATTGATGTGCAGTACTAAGTCTAAGTCAATTTTATAGTTTTGATTTCTAAATGAAAATGGCACACATTTAAAACTGGCTAACTGATAGGTTTCAATGTAGTTGCAAGCAGAAAATTATCGAGCGCTTACATTCTTGTTGGTTTCTTTTCCTTCCCATAATGGCATTCCCATGGGGATCAGCTTTTGGGTGCTGTATATTTAGTAATTCATTATTTATCTGGAAGGAAATATAAAATGGTTACTGATAAAGATATCTGATGACCCAAAGGTTGGAGTAGTAGGGGGATAATAAAGAGGATGGGAATTCTCTTGGGGCAGTATTTAACAATATCTTTGCTGCTGTGGTGAGGAGAGAGAGGAGCATAGACTTGATAAAACTTTTAAGGGCAAGTCCAAAAATACCCCGTGCTGAAAGAGGCCAGTTTCAAAAGTGAAAGGTCACATTAGCCACAACCATCTCTTTCTCAAGGAGTGAGAGAGATAGTCCATCATTTGCACCCTTATAATCTTACCATCAGTCAGTGCGTAACCAGTGATGACCCGAAAAACCTGGTCTCAGTTATGATGAATTCAAGCCATACTGAATAAATTTATCTCTAGTACTTGCTTTCCTGAAAAATAGATCCCTAGATGGTGATTAATTGTTCAGAACAAATCTCTTGTACCTCACCATTTTTTGGCAAATTGTGGTATAGGGGACCTCTTTCTAGGGTGACTGACACTGACAGGCTGTTTTATCTCCCTCTGCTAATAAACCTTGCAGAGATGGTTTTGATGTGACCACAGTGTGCCTCATTGCATTTCACACCATATTCTCCTTTTATGCTTGGATTGTAAGCTCTTTGGAGCATGAAAGGTCTTTTTGGAGGGCTGTCTATTGTATGTAGTCACGGATCTTGTTCTTTGATCCTTGGATGTACTGCAACACTAATGATAGAACAACCTGTAAGGGCAGAAGGTTGCCCCACCAGAACCAATGGATGGATGGTATACAAGATAAACCCAGAGATTTCAAATAGACATCCATAGCATCAGAAGCATTCTGCTGTGTTATGGGCCGAGTTCTTTGCAATGAAAAATATGTTCTGTTATTTTTCTATAGTCCAAAAATGAGTGAAAACATAAGAGCTGGAATTTTTAGAGGGCTGCCTCAAGTCTTAAAAGGTTGAGAAACCACTGTGTTGGAGCAAAGCAGCAGCAACATGCTCCGAAGCAGCAGCTATCCCTCCCCTTCTGGAACTGTTCAAGCTCTGTTTGTTCATACCCCAAAAAATAGTGAAAGTGGCTCCCCTTCTCTTTCTGCTATGCATCTAGATTACCTGTGGGGTAAATACGGGTCTGGAAATGAAACCATTTTCTCCTTTTGAGTTCAAGCCATCATGGTTTCTGAAACATTTGGAGTCCTAAAACATACAAATCTCACTCTGTAATCCCCCAAGGATATGGTTCTCCAGGCTTTTATGTTATCGAGGTTAAATTATTTCATGTATTCACAGTAAGTGATAAAACAAACTTTTATACTTAAGCCTCTAGCTTCTGAAAGGCATAATACAAACTAAATATGAGAAGTGGTTTTAAGATTTTCTTCAGAACTGATTGGTTGTAGAAGGTGTGTTATTTTAGATGTCTTGAAAAATATCTAAATCAAATACGGTGTTTCTTTTGCTGTAACTCAGCCAGTTCTGGAAGTGATAGACACCCACTTGCTTCATTCTGCAGAAGTAAATTGTTCTGGAAAGAGAAGACAAAAGAGAGCTCTTGTCCTGGGCGCTGAAAAGACAAGACGGTTCATAGCTCTCACACAGCTGTTTACCTTCTCGGAAGGCTTTGCAAGCATTCCTTTCCTAAAAATGACCAGTTAACTTGTGGAAAAAATTCAGATGGCTTTGTCTGCTGGTCTGTTACCTTGGATTAACTAACTCGGTTCTAAACGCTTCTCTTCCCAGTGGACATGTAACTAAAGAGGGTATCAGTTATCACCCAAGTAATATGTGAAAAAGTTAACTGGTACGTTCCTCAGCTCTGTTTATAAAAAGAAGGGCTATAGTCTTCATTACCTTCATTTCCTTGCAGCAGCATCTTTTGGCATACAGGTGCAAATAACTGTAGAAAAGGGCAATGTTGTTTTTAATTTGTTCATCCATTTTTTCTCTGTCATCCTCTTCTGTCATTTTAATTTGTGTGCCCTAGAATTTAGAATGGAAGCCATAGGGGTTTTTTGGGCTCCTTGGGGCTGACTTCCCACAATCCAGATTAAACGTTTTGAGTATGCCCATGATGCTCTCTTCTTCAGTGTTAGTTATAGTTATACGTGAAATGAACATTGTTTATCCAGCAAGCATAGTTTAGTATTCAGTACAGCTATGAAGATACTCGCCCACTTTTACTTGCATACCAGAGGTGGTCACAATCTGGAGCTCTGTAGGCAGTGTTGTAGTGATTACACTCTTTTCAGGAGGAGGAGAAAGGAATTTGGTGCTAGCTGGACTGCTGTTGACGTTGTACTCTAACAGAGTTTGAGCCCAGTGTCCTCTGGCTACTGCAATGGAGGTTGTTTTCTTTTCTGGCTCTCATAGATGCTACTGCTGCTGACAGTGATTATTTAGATTTATGTCCCCCTCTATCCAGAAAGGCTCAGAGTGGCTTACAATACATGCTACTCTAATCTGTTTTTCAACTACTGCAAAGAGTTTTCATCTCCTACCCCATTTCCCCTCTCACTCTCCCTAAGAATCTGTTTTTAGCATGTTCTTTGTCCTTAACAGTAACAGAGGTTCTCAGACGTTTATCTGCATGCCCATTCCACATGGCATATTCTACCCCCTCTTCCTTAGAGCCTCTTATAATCTGAGATGTTGTAATTGAGAGGTGTAGGAAGAGATTACCGTTCTAGGCTTTCTGCACAGAACACAAGGAGTGGAGGAGTGATGGCATGCTGTATGGGCACTGCTAAGGGAAAAAGTCTCTGAGCTTGAATGCCTGAGATTGTGTGTTCTCACAATGAAAATGTATTTCTGTGCACCACGCTTATCAAAGCACTCTGTTGCCTGTTAAGTACTTTTTCCTGTGTTTTATTGAAAGAACACATGCTTTTTTGTTTGTTTGTTTCTCCATAGCAGAACTTGATCAGACAACTTATATTAAAGGTGTATGCTTTTACTTCACATTTTATTACAT